CACTGGAAGTAAGGAAATACCCTGTAGGCGGTATTACACTGGGGCTGTGCTGCTATCTAGTGGTCCTATCAGGGAATACAGGGAAGCACATGCAGACGGATGCAGGGTCCACATGGCTCACATGAGGCAACTCAAGGAAACGTTCCTAGCAAATCTGAACAAATACCTCAACAAAATAATTTCTATGTTTAAATGTTATTCACTGCGTCCATGTAGTAAATGTGTACTTTCAGTTTGGCACTTTTCTGGCGGTTTGCACTCCAGTGTTTGTACTATTATTAAATATTATTTTAAGTGATACAGTGCAGTCAGTATGCAAATGTGCTGGCATCTAGCTTAAATACATTTAATTTACATTTAAGCTACATGCCAGCTTTAGCTGTGGTAAAATGAATGTGAGTTAGTCTTTATTATGTGTTATTAACCTGTGGTGTGGTTATCCTATGTTTGCACTGATGTATCTTTAATAATTTATTTTCAAATATTATTTATTGTTGAACTAATTAAATGTGACTAATGTGTGTCTGATTTCATTTGTAGAATATTTCTTTCATTTTTTGATGTGATTGTTTTTTCTTTTGTTTGCTTGAAAGGGCTCTGGTTGGGCTGAAAATATACTGTAATTTATGACATACAGCTTCTTTGGGATCTTTGTGATAAACCTACAATTTGCAAACCAAAACAAGGATTTTTCTTTTTCTTTACTTACCTGTCATAAAGACTTCCAGTCCAGGTTAAACATAATTTGTTGAAACACATACAGATCTAGAAAGGAAACGTGTTTGTGTTAACACCATTAACACAAAAACTGATCATTATGATTAGGAGAAGTAATTGTAGTAGCCGTATAATAATGGTAGTAGTGGCAGAATCCTCCCTTAGTTACGCTGCAATAGCTCTAGGCTGCTGGGGGCTTCCCATGATGCACTGAGTGTTTCTTCTTTTCCCCTATTTATGTGTTTATACACCTCTCTGCATTTAATTATTAGTTATTATTAATCCCTGGCTCTCTTGCACAGTGTGCCTTTTGTCCTCTCTCCCTCATCTCACTCCCAACCGGTCACAGCAGGCTGTCCCTCCCTGAACCTGGTTCTGCCAGCAGTTCCTGTTAAAAGGGAGTTTTTATTTCTCACTGTTGCCAAGTACTTGGTCAAAGGGGTCATATGAATGTTGGGTTTTTTCTTTAAACTGAGTTGAGTAATAGTAGAAGTATTTAGTCAATCATATAGTACTTTGGGTGGACTATACCACTAAAATGGAAGGGGAAAA